GAAACCTTTTGTCACTGATTTTCAGTCCAGTTCTTGTGTAATTTGGCATAACTCTTCTCTGCCTTTTCTCCCTGTTTTCCTTCCTTAGAAGCCCACCTTGCATTGAAACCATTTCTGATGAGGTTTCACTGAAGAGTCAATGGATCAACTGATGAGTCAGTTGCATGTCTCAGGTCTTGTGTCATGCCTTTAATGTATTTCTTCATATTTCTTAAAGACTTGACTTTCAGATACGGCTCATCTGCAGCAGATAGTTTTTCATCAGCTGGGAAAAAAACAAGACCTCCTCCAAAGACAGGAAATTCTTGAGAAAGGTTGTTTCCCTATATGCTTGTATATGTAGCATGGAAGGACCAAAGTCTAAGTTATTATAGTCTTCTTGTATGAGCTGTTGGTATGACTGTTTGCACAGCAAGCCATGCCCTAATTCACCCTCAACCAGTCATGGCAGCCTGGTCCTGCCAGAGGTTTCCTCCTTATAAAATAGAGTTTTTCCTTTCCACTGTCACCAAGTGCTTGCTCAGAGAGTCGTTTGATTGTTGGAGTTTTTTCTACATTATTGTACAATCTTTACCTTACAATATAAAACCCCTCAAGGTGGCTGTTGTTATGATTTGGCTCTATATAAAAAACTGAATTAAATGTTATTTACTAGACGACTGCAGCAAAATGACCCAAATTAAACCAACCCTGCAAATATGTTTGATAGGTCCGGTTCAGCAGAAGGTACCTAGTCGGCATCAGTCTGCAACTGAAAACTGCAATGCCCGTAATAATAAAGCAGACGTTTAATCTTTCATAAAATGTAAATGAAAAGGTTATCTTTACAGATTGGTACTAGGCTGTAAACATGGATAATGCTGCTATTTAGTTGAAGATTTTACAATTGATATTTAAGGCGACCAACTCACTGATATGAGTTTTGGTGCCAGCCTCAAATGGCCATTCAGGGAACTGCATTTTGGCACTTCTGCACTGGCTTCATGTTTCAACCCTCCAGGTGACTACACATCAACTGACTCTACAACTATTTACGATGCACTTAAACTATCTGCGGTAGTGGTTTCAATTGCTTTCATCCTTCACACTTCATCTGGCATTTTCAGTGCCCACATGCACACCAGCAGATTAACAGTCATTAACTTGACATTAAAGTTTAATAAACAGCTTTCAGCCTCTGCATGTTAACTCACTACACAACTATACTCCAACTGACATTTCTGTCATTTAGTCCAAACTATCATTGGCACTTCAACTTCAGATTAAAAGTCATCGTTTACAGATTAGCTGACATTTTAACGGCTTTCATCTGTAAATTTTCTGAACGACAAACCGACAGCCGTCGTCCTTCACTATTCAACTCGCACACCAACTGCTTTAAATGCCATGCTAAAAATTTACATTTTTTAATTCTCGGAGCAAATGATCATTGACTGATTTCAGCTGCTTTTGGTTCTTGCATTTAAAACTCTTTCAGAGCTTCAGCCTAAATTCCAACATCCATTCAAAATCTCTGATGCAAGCAGTAAATTCTTCCGGATATTTTTAAAGCCATTTACTGTGTTTGTACCTGCACTTTCTAGTATAAGCCATCACAGCAACACATTTTTTCTCTGTCTTTGCTCTTTTTGTTTCAAACACCCGCATTCACTGCAGTGCTCATCATATCAATCCAGCTGGATGTATTCTCTGACTCCAACCCCCAAAAAACAACCGAAAACACTAAAGCATCACCTCCTGACATGTAGTTTTAACAGACCGCACCGAACGGAGCCCAGGCCACGTACTTCAGGCTGCAGATGGAGTCGAGCACTGGTGGTTGGGGGCGCGAGGGAGGGTGTAGATTGGGATTTTGGGGGTGCAATGGGGAATGGCTCTTCTCTGTGTTTTCTATTCAACCTAAGTCCTCTAAGACCTCCTCATCTCTTCTGAGAGGAGCAAGCTGAGATCTGATCTAATGCTGAGTGCCACATCTGAGTGAGTATGTGTGTGTGAGAGCAAGTGAGAGACACGAAACTACGATAAGAGCCTGCTGGGGACAAGAGTGTGTATGGGTAATGAACGAGGCTTGAGTGTGTGTGTGTGTGTGTGTGTGCGCGCGTGAGTGTTTGTGTGCTTACATTAAGGGGTAATGAATTAGTCCAGGGTTTATATTTTTCTGTGTGTGTGCCCCGTGTCTGTGCACTCTCCCTCATCTCTGAAGGGTTGTTTGGGGTATTCTGTTCAGGTTTCACTCAGGGGGGAGGTGGGTTCTCCGAGTCTTGCATTCAGATGTAATTAGCCCAGACAATGGGCTGGTTAAAGCTGGAATCCTCCGAGCCCCCTCTTCCTTTGATTGTGTGGGCCAGCTGTGGAGGAATGGCCATTATCTCCCTGTGTCCGGCAGCATAAAGGAGCCCCCCTTGCCCCAGTTACCCCTGTGTTAGAGTTCCCACAGGGGGAGGGACATGGGCTGGTCACATACTGGTCTAGAGAAAGTGAAAGCAGCCAGAGTACTGGTGTGCTTGCAAACATTCACTCACATTAATGGCTTCACCTCACACTTGAACTGTTCGTTCTCAAAGCAGTGTGGGAGAGCGGGTGGTACTGTTTACACAGGAGCCAATAAAAAAAGGCTTTTCACATCTGGATTCAAAAAGTGCTGGCCTTTAATGTAGTACTCCTGCTGCACTGCTACACCCAAAAAAATAAATAAACAGAGAGAGTAAAAACAAATTCAAATACAGCAAAAATGTAGGAAATGTAAAAAAGGAACAGATGCCTTCTGTGGGTTTTTCCGTGTGCGTGTTTGTTTTCGTTCCATCTCAATCATAATCATTCAATCATAAATATCTCATAAAGAGTTGTGCCTGCGCACAGGGACACTTTGGCCCATTAGACTTGGGAAGAAATTGAATCTTTACAGCACTGGGGCCATAATTACTGTTAATTTAACGCTCAGAATCTCCATCATTAACTTTCACTCGTGAATACAGACAGGGAAACGAAGACTGCATGTGTGTGCAAAAGCGCTGCCTGTGTTGACAGCATAGCCGGCCCTTTGACTGAATTAACAACGACCTCTTCGTCTTGTAAGAACAGGACCCGCATCGTTTATGCGTTATTAAGTCCTGTAATTGGGCAGCCAGTAGTTTGCATATTAGTCTATTAGGGTAATATGTTTTGCCTCTCTCAACACACGGCTTGCCAGAGCCCCTGGCGACACATTTGGTAATTCTCCGAATTACACCCTAATCATAAGCCAGTGTTCTTTCGATCCCTATAAATCTGAGCGCGTCAGTTTATGTCTATGCATCCTCGGCTCAATCAGTTGAAGGATTTATTGGTTAACCTATCAGTTCTTATACGAAATTTTATTGTAGGTCACCTTGGTCTTCAATAACCTTATAAATGCTATTTTCTTTGCATGCCTTAGAGTCCCTCTGGCTTTAAATTTATTTTATATATATATATATATATATAAAAGATTACACAGATGTTCCTTGATGCCCATGATGCTGCACAGCATCACTGTTTGAAGGTGAAACATTGATGTTTTTTGGTCCTTTGAGGTTCCTTTAACCTCCTAATAGCTATGATGTCTTACAGTCAGTGCCCCACTTTGAGCCAATAAAATCACATCTCCTAAATACCAGTAGTTGCCAAAGTAGGTCCAGGGACCCCCGAGGGGTCTAATAGGGTTTCAGGGGGACTCAGCAGAATTAAGAATAGTTTAATTTCAATATTATTGCATTAATTTAAAGATAGGACCAGCAGATGCTGCAAAAAAATTAGTGCTTTGATGAATTTTCACTAACTTAACTGATATTGTCTTCCCAACACCTTAACGATCCTGTGCTACAATGATAAACGAGGTACTGAAAGCCTTTAGTGAAAGCTTAGTTTCCATTAAAAACACTTTCATGCAGAATTCAAAGTCTTCAAAATGTACACAAAGTAGTGTTTATATGATAATATACATTAAAATCGTCATTACAGCACAGCTTTAATCAAACATCAGTGCATCAGATTATGTTTAAAAGCTCAATCTTCATAGTTACAGGTAACATTAGCTGTCAAATAAGTGTGGGATTTCCTGGATTAGTCTAAAGTTGCATTAATTATTCAGCTAAGAGATTTTAAAGTGCAATAAAGTGGATATTTTAAATGGTATTTATGGGACTTGTGGGTATACCATTTAAAACTCATGTTGGAGAGCACAAATTTGCTGAAGGAGGAAATATTTTCTACATTTTGTTCCTCATCCGCACATTAAAGGTCGAGGCCTGCTGTCTGAAAAGCCAAGCCTCGCGTGCCACATCTCAAAGTTTACCCAACAGGCAGGTGGAGGTGGGGGCGGGTGGTGTAGGGTGGAGTGGGCTCAGAGCAGGCAGAGGGATCCATTCTTGTAAGCCTCCTCTATTTTCGGCCCCGATTTGCCCTCTCCTCCTCCCCCTCCCCTCCTCCCTATTATTTGTCCCGTCGGCCGAGAGCGCGGCCCCAATGAGCCCTTTGGAACGGAACGAAAAGAAGGAGCGAATTGCAGCTGTGACGTGGGCGTTGTTGTTCCATTCACTGCGTTCGCCATGGTAACGGGGCAGAAGCTGGAAGCACGCAGCCCCTCTCTCTGGACAGCGTCCTGGGGGCAGAGAGGCAGCTGGAAGTTTCTCGTCACGATCTCTGCTTTGTTTTCGTGGCGCAAAATAACCTCCAGATATCCAACTTCACGCGCGTGGAATCAGACGTGGTCGGAATGTTTGGTAATTTTAAACATTTTGCTCTCTGAAAGTTGCGTTTAAAAAAACTATTAAAACGGGAGTGATGGCTATCCTACAATAAATAATATGTAAAGTCTTCATCTCGTGTGTAACTTTTACGCAGCGTTTTGACGCACAAATCCAACACTTGTGACCCAGTGACCCAGATCAAGGTTATAAAAGTACTTTAAAACAAAGACAGAAACGTCAGACACCCCCCCCTCTTTTTTTTTCTTTTAGTACAACCCAGGTTCTTCTGCCTATTCTGTGTTTACACTGCCTGATTTCTCCCTCCACTTTGTAGTACTCTAGCATCCTGCAGGACTGCCTGTATTGTTGGGCAGAGTGATTGGGGTTTCTGTACAATCTCCCGTGACCAATGAGCGGGGTGCTGTCAGGGGTAACCACATCTGTCAACCGTTCTTGGCCAATAAAGAGCGGAGCGAGGCGGACCACAGGTGCGCGCCTCTGCGTCCCCTTGGCACAGCGCCCGGGAGATGCTGGAGAGAGACGCCTAGCTGCCCCGTGGCGCAAAAGAGTTACTGTCAAAGGCAGCCTCCTTTTAACTCCAGCTATCACTCTGGCTCCGATAGTTATGGCGACCGCAACGTCCAACCACTACAGCGTCCTCAGTACCCCCAGCAGCGCGCCGCCGCCGCACTCGGAGTCCGGGAGCATGCAGCAGGCGGCAGCGTACAGGGACGCGCACACCCTGCTCCAGAACGACTATAGCACGTTACCGGGCGCTGGGCATCCGCTCAGCCACGCGCACCAGTGGATAACGGCGCTGTCTCACGGTGACAGCGGGGCACCCTGGCCGTCTAGTCCCCTCGGAGAACAGGACGTGAAACCCGTATTGCATGACAGTGACCGAGAGGAGCTGCAGAACTCCAGCAGTCTGCAGCAGCAGCAGCAGCAACAGCAGCAGCAGCAACAGCGACACCCTCACCTAGCGCACCAGCAGGCGCATCACGACGCCAGAGCATGGCGAACCAGCACAGCCACAACGCACATCTCCGGTATGGCGACATCTGAGGGCCAGAGCCTGGTGTACTCTCAGTCCGGCTTCGGTCTGATGCCGGGGGGAGAGCAGGGGGGGATGCACCACCACCCTCTGCGCGAAGAGGACCACCACAGCCACAGTCCGCACCTCAGTGAACACGGAGGCGGCCCCGGGGCCCACCAGCAGTCTCTCACACACCATCACCAGCACGGGGGCCATCAGGATCAGTCTGACGAGGACACGCCGACCTCTGACGAGTTGGAGCAGTTTGCCAAGCAGTTCAAACAGCGGCGAATCAAGCTTGGCTTCACCCAGGCGGACGTGGGACTGGCTCTCGGGACACTGTACGGGAACGTTTTTTCTCAGACGACCATTTGCAGGTTCGAGGCGCTTCAGCTCAGCTTCAAAAACATGTGCAAACTAAAACCGTTGTTGAACAAGTGGCTGGAGGAGGCGGACTCCACCTCGGGGAGCCCCACCAGCTTGGATAAAATCGCGGCACAGGGACGGAAAAGGAAAAAGAGAACCTCCATTGAGGTGGGCGTCAAAGGGGCTCTGGAGAGCCATTTTCTCAAATGTCCAAAACCGGGAGCAGCGGAGATCAACTCCCTAGCGGACAGCCTGCAGCTGGAGAAGGAGGTGGTGAGGGTTTGGTTTTGTAACCGGCGGCAAAAGGAGAAGAGGATGACGCCCGCTGGGGGACAGATACCTGGAGGAGAGGACATGTACGGGGACACCCCTCCTCGCCACGGAGGACAAACTCCCGTGCAGTGACCTCAGTTCTCAATCCCGAGTAAAAACACGGACCCCTTAAAGGAGGTATAACGCCTCCTTATTTCTTTTATTCTCTGTGCTGGACCGCTCGGAACTGGACCTCAGCCAGTTTAGATGTTGGACCCACGGACAGACACAGTGGGGACACGCAGTGGCACGCGAGCGCTAAAAATACTCATAGCAGAGCCGTATGGAGAGGTTTCATGCCGCAGAACTGCCAAACGTATCGGGGTGGTGTGTGCTAACCAGAAAAAAAAGAATAAGAAAAAAACAGCGACATTGTCTTTATGCCAGACCCAGGCGCCAGTGTGCCATCATCAAATATGTTATTTAAAAAATAGAAGAAGAAGAGATGAAAAAAAGGCAGAGTGTGACACGGACGAGACGTGTCCGCGGGGAGAAAAAACATAAAAACTCGCTTCGGGCATGATGATTTAGTCGCAGTGAGTGTGGGTAAATAAACGCCATCTTTCCATCATAACAAAAGCAACAGGGGTTCTTCGCGGCTTGTGGCAAGAGAGGGCTGAAATGGCAGACACCTGCTCTACAATGTTTAAAAATTAAAGCCAATACCAGCCAGATAATTTATTATTATTATTATTATTATTATTATTATTATTATTATTGTAAAATTGTGACGACCTGAACTTATTCACAATAAAAATACAGTATTGCTTTAATATAATAAAATGTGAAAGTATTTACATTTTTACATTCCTAATTTATCAGCAAATAATAATAATAAAATAAATAAATAATAATAATAATACAATTGAGACTGAGTATTGGTGGACTTCAAGGCTTTTCCTTTTGTGCAGAAATTTCTGTGCGCCTGTTTACAGTGTGTTTTTGCTGTTTGTTATTTCTGTACTTTTCCAAAATGCTGTGACGAGAAAGACCGAGACTGTCCGGCTGGAACACTCTGAACAATCCAGCCCATTTTGCCTTCTTTTCCTGAGAAGAAGAAAAAAAACTGAAAATATCCTGGTACCAGCTCTGGCCACAGTGGCTATACTTCTACTACTACTACTACTGTATGACTCATTCATTCACGGAGAAGGCGATCTGTGGGATGTATCTTCATTCGTTTTTGTATTGCTTCGTTCGTTCGTTCGTTTGGTTGTTTGTATGTTCAGTTTCTTTTCTGTCAGTCTGTGCCAAAGCACAAACACAGACACGTGTTCTTGTGCCACTGAAATCCTGTGATTGATAACCTGATCTGATAGTAGGAGTGTATGTGGGAGGAAAAACCCACTAAAAGGTTCTTTTACCAAATTATGAAGAATAAATATACATATATATATATAAAACAGAAAAAAAGAAAGAAAAAAAGTGGAAACTCAAATAAAGCTGAGGAATACTGATGACTGGAGAGGAACATTTTTAATAGACCAAAGCTTGTTAATGTGAGACAGTGTACAAAAAAAATAACAAACCTGAATGTATAAGTCTTACCTAACAACATCAAAGTAGGTCTATAACCTCCCTTTTCATCGCCAATCATAAAAAAATAACCATAGCAATATTTTTATGTAACGTTTTGCAATACGCACATGGCATTTTTTATTTATGGGTAGGTATTACATAACAATTCGCCCTCGATTAAAATAAGGCCCCATATTTGTGAAATTTAAAAAAAATACTGTAATCACACCCTGTTTAATCTTCAGCTGAATTTGAGTTTCTGATGGGTGGAGGGGGAAAAAGAGGCAAACCAAAACAAAATAGCAGTGACCTGAAATCTGTGATCAAACGAAGAGGAAAAAGAAATCAACGATTGCACAATTTCTAAATGCTTTTTGTCATTAAAGCGTATTTGTTTTCTAAAACTCTGCAGTCCTGCACGTTCATTGCGCTTCAGGGTGGAAGAAAGAAGGGAAAAAAGTCGCATTTAACTGTATTTTTTATTGTGTGCGGACTCGCATTAAAATTGGGGATTTTATCAGTTCGTGTCGGTTGTTTAAAATGTTTCACCTGCTTCGCTGAAGTGTTTGCTACCGCTGATGTGCTCTGATACTGCTGTGTGATGGATGTTACAGAAGATGCTCAGCAAGTGACTTCAAATTATTATTATTAGGATAAATGCGAAATGTGATCGACAAGCACGGCGAGATAAATTTCTGACCATCGAAGCAAAATTTAAAAAAAATGTTATTAGGCAATGAATAAATAAATAAAAAGCAGGCCTGTCTGTAAAGGATGTGAAATGAAGGTATATAGGCCTCACTGCAGGTGAGGTACAGAAGCTGATGTAACAATAGTGTTATTATGTATAACTGGGCCTGCTGCCATCAGCATGCACACTAAAAATAACCATAAACCTGTCCTATTTATCATTTTCATGTACGATGAAGTAATATACAAATAGTTTAAATGGGAAACGTGTGCAAATAAATTAACACTGAAATGTTGTGCAAAAAAAGGAAAAAGAACATATCGACAGGGTTTTTCAAATAGAGATTAAAAGGTTGTGGCTTCAGTCTAAATTACAAAAAAAATGAAGCTTAAACTGTTGTTTCAGAACCTGTGCGAGCCTTCACCAGCTGGAAATGCATTTAACAGTACATCTCTGCACTGGGTTTGTTCACCTCGTGTCTGTACTGTATGTTTTATTACACCTTGGCCTGATCGGTGGTCAAATCGGAAAGTGTCCTGACGCCACCTGGTGGTTTAAAGGAAGCCTCAAGAGCCTTAAGTTGAATGTAAGGTGGTCGATTTTTGAACGGTGAATGCCGATGTTCAAAATTATTATTTTTACAGGCCAGTGTGTCCATTATTCCATAATCATCGATTTTCATGAATAATCATTAGGCAATTAGTTATGTGTTGAGGTTACAGAACAAGAGAAGACACACAAGCTTAAAAATGGCATTAAATTTAAAAAAGTAGGTAAAAAGTGAAGAACACATACAGATTTTGAATTTTACTCATTTTTGAGTGAAATTATTATCATTATTATTATTGTTATTATAATTCCTTCTTTACTATAAAGATTCACAATTTTCCCCTAATTTTTAGATCCAGTTATTATGTTATTTTACTAGATTCCTGTATTTCTCCACCACAATCTTGATCAAACATACTCTAAAAAAAAGGTTTATTGTAGTATCAATTAAAGGGGAGATGGAGGCAAAGTTTATTTACCTGTGTTAAATTTCTAGGTGAATGGTGGTTAAAAACATTCTGACACTTTGCATTTTGAGAATGTGGAACTGGGATATCTTTATTTAAACAAACTGACAATGCACATTTTTGTAATTTCGAATATTCAATAATAGGTCAAGTTAAAGTAAATGAAAAAATATGTAGATATATAATTTGCTATCAACCTTAAAATAACAAGGAATCTGTCTAACTGTGCACCTGTATTTTATTTTACTATCATTTGATATACACAAGCTTTTATTTTGACACCACTTGAAACTGGTGTGTGCAGTTGAGGGGCAACAAAAGAGAATGCCTGAAAGAGAAAGAAAGAGATAAGCGTGAATATTTGTGTGTGTGTGTGTGTGTGTGTGTGTGT